CAAGTAAGTAAGACGAAGCTGAAATTTTATTATTATTCTCAACAACCATTACATTCAGCTTGAAAAGGCCCTCAGTGAGGTAACCTTTTCCTATAAATATTTCGTTCTTACTTATTACAACCTTATTGGATACAAAGACACATTTAAAACCATTCTTAACAAGAAGGCCAGCAGAGACTAAATTCTTCCTAATCTTGGGAACATGAAGGACGTTGTTCAAAGTCACCACTTTGTCGGAAGTCATTTTCAAAAATATCTTCCCACATCCTTCAATCTTGGCAGTTGCAGCATTTCCCATAGAAAGCGTCTCTTCGGGTCCAACAGGAGCATATGTAGCAAAAGCTTCTCTAACAGCACAAACATGGCGAGTGGCTCCAGAATCAATCCACCACTCCCTTGGATTGCCCACCAGGTTGCATTCAGAAAGCATAGCACACAAGTCATCAACATCTTCGTGCTTTTCAACCATGTTTGCTTGACCCTTCTTCTTGTCTTTCTTTGGAGCACGACAATCTGTAGATTTGTGTCCAGCTTTCCCACAGTTGTAGCAATTACCGTTGAACCGCTTGTTGCTTGGGTTGCTTTTCGGTCCAGAAGCCTGCTTCCTCTTTCTCTTATTTTGAGAAGTATCCTCAACAATGTTTGCTCCCATTATTGTTGAGTTTCCACGGTCTCTCTTTTCAGCAGCTTTGTTGTCCTCTTCAATTCTCAATCGAACAATGAGATCTTCAAGGGATATCTCCTTGCGTTTGTGTTTCAAATAATTTTTGAAGTCCTTCCACAACGGAGGCAACTTCTCAATCATCGCTGCTACTTGGAATGCTTCATTGATGACAAGACCTTCAATGAAAATTCTGTTAGTAAACATAATAAAATTAATACAACCAACATTAGTATTAATTCTACTTATACCTTCATCAAGGAGATCGTGAACAATCACTTGCAATTCCTAGACTTGGGTAATAACAGACTTGTTATCTACCATTTTGTAGTCCAAAAATTTAGCGGCAACGAATTTCTTCAACTCGGCATCTTCAGTTTTATATTTCTTTTCAAGCGCAATCCACAGTTCTTTTGACGTCTCCACGCCACTGTAGACGTTATAAAAAGTGTCCTCCAGTCCGCTAAGAATATAATTCTTGCACAGAAAATCATCATGCTTCCACGCCTCAATCACGAGAAAGCGTTCAGTCTCTGAAGTTTCATCGGGCAGCACAGGAACATCTTCCTTGATGAACTTCTGCAAACTTAAAGTAGTCAAGTAGAAGAACATCTTTTGCTGCCAGCGCTTGAAATCAAGCCCGGAAAATTTTTCGGGTTTTTCCGCCGGTGCCAATGCTGCCGGTGTTGTTCGGATCGTTGAGGCATTGGCAGTTACCATCGGAACAGCTTGGTTTCCGCTGTCATTCGTCATTTTTGTAAAAGAATGACACAAACAAACGTTAAAATCACGGAGATTTTAATCTCCAATGGAGCAGAAAACCACAAAGGGTTTAATCTCCAGAAAAATAAATATAACACAAATACAGAAAATAAAAGATTAAATTCCTTAAGCTTGTTAGTAAACCTGTATTTGTAAACTAATTCTGGAGAAAATAAAACAACATATAAACATAAATTCACACGATACAAAAATCAATTCGAGCCCACTGAATTCACAGTGTTTCCTTAAGGAATTTAATCCCTTCCTAGTACCCAAGGTTATGGATTATTTCCTCCCAGGATAGAACGAATTACACACTGGTGTAGTGGTACTTCAAACCCCAGTGTTTCAGCGAACACAAAGTTCAGTAGCAAATCACACTTACTTTTGCTTTCTTTGAAGTTAAAAAATAGTGCAGAAGAAAGGAGAAGACCTCAGAAATTCGTATGGAAATTCTGAGAGAATGGACTTGTACTTACAGCCAATGTTGGGCTGAAATCTGAAGAGGTGCAACTCTTCAGAATGGTTGTTTATGCAAAACGGCCATAGCATAAATGCCATAACATAAATGGCTATTTACTCAACAATAAAGAGGGAAAATTGAAGAGGGTAGTTAATTTTGCAAGTTACAAAAACAGAAAAGGAAAAAATGGAAACGGTTGGATTTTAATATTAATATTCTTGGATTTAATATTAATATTTTGTTATTAAAACGGATATTTAATAACATTTCTGTTAATATTTACTATTAACAAATAAATTTGGTCCAGAAAATTAATCAATGAATTGATCATTTGACCAAATCCAAATCCAAATCCGAAGCCGAAGCCGAGCCGAGCGAGCGACGACGACGACGGCACGAGGCTTGCCTTCTTCTCAACTCTTTAAGAGCTAGAAGAAGAGCAATTGCTTATATACCCATAAAAAACCTCTTTCTCTTCCAATATGGGACAATGTCCCTTCATCAAGGAGGGAATCTCAAATTAAACTCAAATATTTCATTTTTCCTCCATTCCCATTCACCCTCTTTTAAGCATTAATATACTTAAAAATCCAACAACAACAACCCAGTGGAATCCCACAAGTGGGGTCTGGGGAGAGTAGTGTGTACGCAGACCTTACCCCTACCTATGAAGGTAGAGAGACTATTTTCAAAAGACCTTCGGCTCAAGAACGTAAAAAAAATGAAGCAATAGGGAAACAATAGCAACATCAATGTGATAAGACAATGTAAGCAAATAATATAATGAATAATGACAGAGATCCAGGGATATGAAACTACAAGAATAGTGCCAATCCTACTGCTAATAGTGATATACCGTATAGAAAAAACGGACTAGGAATTAAAAGGTGCCCGACTAGTACCACTACTACTACTACTACTACTACTACTACTACTAGTAAGACAAGGCAAAACTCTAGACTGTCTATCAACCCACCACCCTAATTTTCGACCTCCACACCTTTCTATCGAGGGTCATGTCCTCGGTAAGCTAGAGCAGAGCCATGTCCTGCCTAATCACCTCACCCGGTTCTTCTTAGACCTCCCTCTACCCCTCCTCTGACTCGCTACGGGCAACCTCTCGCACCTCTTAACCGGGGCATCAACGTCTCTCCTTTTCACATGACCAAACCATCTCAGCCTCGATGCCCTCAACTTCTCTTCCACAGGAACCACACCCACTTTGTCCCTAATATATTCATTCCTAATCTTATCTTTTTTGGTATGCCCACACATCCATCGCAACATCCTCATTTCTGCTACTTTCATCTTCTGGGCTTGAGATTTCTTGACTAGCGAACACTCGGCTCCATACAACATGGCCGGTCTAACTAGCGTTTTGTAGAACTTGCCCTTAAGTCTAGATGGCACATTCCTGTCGCACAAAACACCATAAGCAAGCCTCCATTTCAACCACCCCGCTCCTATACGGTATGTGACATCCTCATCAAACTCCATGTTAGTCTGTATAATAGACCCAAGATATTTAAAACTATCTCTCATGGGGATGACTTGGGTATCAAGCTTCACGTCCACTTCAGCTTCATGCATCCCAACACTGAACTTACACTCCAACTATTCTGTTTTTGTCCTGCTCAACTTGAAACCTTTAGACTCCAGAGTTTGACGCCATACCTCCAACTTAGCATTAACCCCGTCGTGCGTCTCGTCAATAAAAACTATATCATCTACAAACAACATACACCATGACACTTCCCCCTAAATGTTACGCGTCAGCACATCCATCGCTAGGGCAAATAAAATGAGTTAAGAGCTGATCCCTGATGCAATCCCATCACCACTGGAAAATAATCTGAATCCCCTCCCACAGTCCTCACCCGAGTCTTAGCTCCATCGTACATGTTCTTAATCACCCTAATGAACGCTACTGGAACGCTGCTAACCTCCAAACATCTCCATAGAACCTCCCTAGGGACTTTGTCGTAGGCTTTTTCTAAGTCAATGAACACCATATGTAAGTCCTTCTTCCTCTCCCTATACTGCTCCATCAACCTCTTCACAAGATGGATGGCTTCTATAGTCGACCTCCCCGGCATGCATCCGAACTGATTCTCCGAAATAGAAACACTCCTTCTCACCCTCCTCTCCACTACCCTCTCCCAAATTTTCATGGTGTGACTCGGCAGCTTGATACCCCTATAGTTGGTGCAATTCTGGATATCACCCTTGTTCTTGTACAATGGGACCATCACACTCCACCTCCATTCTTCCGACATCGGCTTCGTCCTAAAAATGACATTTAGCAATCCAGTAAGTCACTTCAAGCCTGCTCGGCCTGCGTCCTTCCAAAATTCTACCGGAATCTCGTCTGGTCTGGTCGCCCTACCCTTACTCATCTTCTGCATAGCCTCCTCAACTTCCCCAATCTTAATACGCCTACAAAACCTAAAATCTCGCTGGCTTTCTGAGTTCTCCAACTCCCCGATCACAATGCTCCTGTCCCCATCCTTGTTCAGGAGTTTATGGAAGTATGTCTGCTACCTGCGCCTAATACACGCCTTTTTCCACCAACACCTTGCCTTCCTCGTCTTTGATGCACCTCTCTCGGTCCAGGTCTCGAGCCTTCTTCTCCCTCACCTTGGATAACTGAACAATTTCTTATCACCTCCTCAGCCCCCAAGTTCCTCATACAAGTGCTCAAAGGCTACAGTTTTATCTGCCATGACCGCTAACTTCGCCTCTTTGTGCTCCATGTTCGTCCTCTTCTCCTCCTTGTTGACGCTCTCCATTAGCTTCATAAACGCCGCTTTCTTGGCTTCCACTTTACCTTGAACCTCTACATTCCACCACCAGTCCCCTTTGTGACCTCTAGAGTAGCTCTTCGTGACCCCTAGCACCTCCCTAGCAGCTTCCCTATAGCCTACTGTCGTGGTCCACATACTACTCGCATCTACACTATTCCTCTAAGCTCCCATAACCAACAACTTCTCCCCCAATTCTCGAGCTTCGTACTTAGTCAAGGATCCCCACTTGATCTTGGGTTTACCATTCACTGCTCTCTTCTTGAATCACTTTCTTAATATCCAAGTCCATTACCAAGAGCCTGTGTTGTGTCTAAAGCCACTCACCCGGTAAAACCTTGCGATCCGTGCATAGACCTCTATCCCTCTTCCTGTAGAGAAGATAATCAATCTGGGTCTTGGCCACCATACTCCGGAACGTGACCAAGTGGTCCTCCTTCTTCTGAAAATACGAGGTAACTACCATTAGATCAAAAGCTTTAGCAAAATCCAGCAGCGAATCACCACCCTCGTTCCTAACTCCAAAGTCGAACCCGCCGTGCACATCGTCATACCCCCCCAAGCCGTCTTTCCTATATGGCCATTAAAATCACATCCTATGAAAAGCTTTTCGGTGTGCAGAATACCGCGCACCACCTCATCCAAATCCTGCCAAAAAAGCCTTTTGACCTCCTCGTCCAAGCCTGCTTGCAGCGTGTATGTGCTAATCACGCTTAAAGTAAGCCCACCAACCACTAATTTAATAACCATCAACCTATCATTCACCCTGTTAACATCTACCACCAGCTCCCTAAGATCTTTATCTACTAAAATTCCTACCCCGTTTTTGCCCCTAGAACGTCCCGAATACCAAAGTTTATACCCGTTGACATCTCGCGCGTTATTACCCACCCATCTAGTCTTCTGGACACACGCTATATTGATCTTCCTCTTTTGGAGGATCCTCCCTAGTTCTATAGACTTCCCCATCTACGGACCAATATTTCAAGATCCAATTCTCAACCTAGTGTCCCCCTTACCGCCCTTAACCCCAGCCCCCTGCCCCACCCGAGGACATGACCTTACTCCACCATCATACACCCCAGCCACTCTAAGTCAAGGGATACTATGCTAGTACCACGACAACATGCAACAAGGTAAACTAGGGAAAGAAACTAGTCTACTGTGAAAAAACACAAAGACAAACTAAGAACAAAAAACTTTAAAAAAAAACAAAGATGCTAATATGAATACAGTAAAGAAAGTAAGTGCTAGAGCAAACAATCTAACTAAAGGTACAAATACGACACGAAAGAAAAGAATTAAAGAAGGATAGAGCCTAGAAGTCGACCGGAAATATAAAGCGCCGCTACCAGAAAAAGACCCCTGGATGTAATGTCGCCGGAAAGAAACGGGCACACCGGAAAATTGACTGTATTAGACGGATCCCGTCGTATTGATGGAACCCTACTGGGTGGATACTCACGTCGGCGCGACTGAATTTTATCGAAAATTCATAGCCGCCTGACCCTAATTTGTTGCACACGTCTGTAGACAAACACACAAACACACACATACACGGCTTGGGGAAAATGGGGAGGGGGGGGGGGAGAGAGAGAGAGAGAGAGAGATAATGATAGAGAGAGAAGAGAGAAGGGTTGTCACTGGCACTGAGTGTTCGTCGGTGACGAGCAGAAAGAATAGAAAAGAAAGGGAAAGGAAAAGAAGAAGAAGAATAGAGAGGGGCGAGCGGGGAGAAAGAGAAGAGAGAAGCAAAGTGACTTACCTGCTGGAGCTAATGGTCGCCGGCATTTGACTAGGTCACTGGCGTGAGAGACTGTTGAAGAGGGAGTCAGAAAGTCAAAAAAGATAGAGTTAGAGAGTCGGAGGAGAGAGAGAGTTTTAGTGATGATCTAATTTATCTATATATCTGTCTACAAATTTATGGATCAATACTAGTATTATACTTGTTTCAGTCCCTTCACTTTCCTATTTCCCTTTCATGCTCAAATCAAATACTACTACCCCCTTCTGCAATCCTTTCTTTCTTTTCTTATCTTTTCCTTCTCTCTTGATAAGGCAAAGGAAAGGGAAAACACAAAAAGCTAACTGGAGATAGAAAGTCATACTGAGATGTTTAAAAAGCGGAGGGGAAAAAATGCACATCTTTCTTCTTCTAGTTATTCATCCTTCCCAACTGACATCCATAAAGAAAAAGGAAATAAAAAAGATCCATTTCTTGAAAACAATGGGGATTAGTATCTGATCCTCCACAGGGATAAGTATAACCCTATGTTGTGGAGCAGTCGAGCTAAGACTTACTAGTTTTCAAAATAAAAGTTAAAGGCACATATCACGTATTATGCATGAATAACAGAATGGTGAGAGACAAAGAATTTTGTCAAGGTAATAGCTTAGCATAATAATGTTAAACAATTAGGGCAGCTGGAAATGCCACTATCGCCCTAGCTTCTTGGGGAAGAAATGGAATAGTTCTAGAGAATAGAGGATATAAAGAGAACAAATAAATATGGGGCAATGTAACTATTATCCATTTGAGGAATTGTACCTATTTATCAAGGTATAGAAATGAAACAGATCAGGGTTAACATTTAGGGTCTTATTACATAATTCTGCATGAAGTGCACGAAGAAAAACTGTTTGTCCGTTCATTAAATGCCACGGATAAGACGACAAAGTGGAAATAAAGTTGAGTAGTTGTAGATGATGTGCGTGTTGTCAAAGTGTTGTTTGTTTGTATATTTAATGCCATGCATAAGACAACAAATTAGAAATAAAATTAAGCAAGTTGGTTGTACGTCATAGAAGTTGTCGTTTGCGCATCAAAATAGATGAGTGGTTTATCATTAGGGTTAGAGAAGGTCAAATTGGGTTTGATTAATGATAGTTCAAGAAAGCAATTTATGTTGCTGGAAATGGATTGATACAGCATATTAATTAAGTGCTTGTTAATGCTGAATCTTTGACATAACTGTTTTACTAGAGGGACTACCATTGATGTCAAACATAATTCTTTAGTCTACTCACCAACACATGATCATCCTTGTTAGGATAATTGTAATATGTAAAAATGCAGCTACCATACCAGATTAATTTGTAAATAAATAAAAGTCGTTTAAAACAACAAAATAACTGACTCTTGTGCAAATTCTGTCGTATTGATGTATTGTATTTGATTAGTTATCCTTTCCACCAATGCTCCTTTCAAGGTTATTATCCTTCTACGTTCATTGTCTATTTCAGAAGAAGTATGCCATAGTGGTAGTCATGATTTTATGAAAATAGTGATTTCATTATTTTTGGAAATCATTTAATTTTGCTGGACGATCTGGTAACATAAAATATTGCTCACATGATTTATATATATCTAGACTTTTGTAACCCTACATGTGACAATGGAGCATAAATATATTGCAGTCTTTAGTTTTTTTAATTATATTTTATTGTTCAATTGTTTACAACAATATTTGCATATAGCATGTTTTACAGGTGTAGTTTTTTGTAATGTGATAGTGTAACAGGAAGTATTATACTCAATGAAATTATATATGTTTGTGGATACTAATATTGGATTATTTTACTTCTAATAAAAAGGTATGGTTGATACTTTATAATGTACTTCCCTTTCATAAAAAAGCTTTTTGAGCTTAATGTGTTAAATCACAAGACCTGAATAGCATAAGAAGCTGCATTACGATATTTCTAGAGGTATGTTAGATCTGTAAGCTAGTCCATATGTCTAGATGGTTGTCAAGTTTAACATGTTAAACTGCTACATGAATTAACTATTTTTGTATATGTGAAAAATCTCTGTCGTTAGTAATGTATACTATGTAGTACAGTAGGTCAAGCCTTTACTTATAGATTACTTGCTATGACTTAATGTGTTCCCCCAATGTAATTCAGTATTATTACACTGCAAGCAGAGATTTACAAATATTTATATTGCAATCATAATTGGCCTCTCTCTCTCTCTCCCTTCTATGGACACTTTATAGTAATTGAGTTTCGTTTTACTCTCAAGAGTGCCTAAAATTATTGCAGACTGCACTGCATTATAAATATGTGTAAGAGGTTTCGAAATGTATTACTTGTCTAGTAGGTGGTTACCTGAGACCTTTGTGACCATGATGGCATTCAACTAGGTGGTTTTTTCGTTACAAAAAGGTAATTGGATTAAGTTAGGTGGTTTTGCAGTTGCTGATCATTGAGAAGTGTACTTTGTCCTGTATTTTTGTATCAACATGTTATAACCTTGACATAATTCAACTAGGCAGTTTTTGCTACTGTTGAATATGAAGAAAAGTTTACTTTACCTACTATTTTTGTAGGGAAAATTTGCTTTTCTTAAACTGATCCTAGCATAGAGATTCAAATACCAGTAAATATTGCTAGTGTTTTTCTTATTAAAAACAGGAGACAACTCTCTCACGCCATATGTAATATCCTAGCCTGAGATTACCTTCACAAAAAAAGGAAGTAGAGGATAAGTGCTTGATTCTTGCCAGTGATGGCTTGTGGGATATTTTATCAAAAAAATGGTGTGTGAGGTGGCTAGTGATTATCTTTGAGAGGAAGATCAAGCCGAGGACCATAGATTCAGTCCTTCGTAGAAGGTGATAGCGGAGGAGCTATATATTCTTCTCGAAGTGCATCAGCAGATTCACTGCTTACTCAACTTGCTCTGGGACGGAATAGCTATGATAACATTAGCGTGATAGTGATGGATCTGAAGAGAAGTCATACTGCAGGATAGTTTCAAGAAAAGGTAAATTATTAAAGTGAACCATATTGGATAGCTTGTATACAACTAAAGAAAAGGTTAGAGATGGTTTTATTGACTATTACCCAAGGTATTTAACTTAATTTTGATACTTAAAGACAGTGATCAGTACTTGAATTTATTTTAATTTGGTTTCTCTCTTCTATTGTCATTAGCAAGTGATCTTTTAGGTGATTAATGATATGATAGATAAAGTTGATAATATAACCCTATATTGTGGAGTAGTCGAGCTAAGATTTACTAGTTTCCAAACAAAAACTTAAAGGCACATATCACGTATCATGCATGAATAACAGAATGTGGAGAGACACTGAATTTTATCAAGGTAATAGCATAGCATAATGATGTAAAACAATTATGGCAGCTAAAAATGCCACTATCGCCCTTGCTTCTTGGGGAATAAATGGAATAAGTCTAGAGAATAGAGGATATAGAGAGAACAAATGATATGGGGCAATGTAACTATCATCCATTTGAGGTGTTGTACCTGTTTATCATGGTATAGAAATGAGATAAATCAGGGTTAACATTTAGGGTGTTATTACAGTATTCTGCATGAAGTGCGTGAAGAAAAATTATTTGTTCGTTCATTAAATGCCACGGATAAGACGACAAAGTGGAAACAAAGTTGAGTGGTTATAGATGATGTGCATGTTGTCAAAGTGTTGTTTGTCTGTATATTTAATGCCATGCATAAGACGACAAATTAGAAATAAAACTAAGCAAGTTGGTTGTACGTCATAGAAGTTGTCGTTTGCGCATCAAAGTAGATGGATGATTTCTCATTAGGGTTAGAGAAGGTCAAACTGGGTTTGATTAATAATAGTTCAAGGAAAGCAATTTATGTTCCTAGAAATGAATTGATACAGCACATTAATTAAGGGCTTGTTAATGCTGAATCTTTGACATAACTGTTTTACTAGAGGGACTACCATTAATGTCAAACATAATTCTTTTGTCTACTCAACACATATCTTCCTTGTTAGGATAATTGTAATATGTAAAACTGCAGCAACAACAACAACCACAAATCCAATAGTTTCCCAAGTGGGGTTTGAGGAGGGTAAGATGTACGCAGCCTTACCCCTACCCCTAGAGGGGCAGGGAGGCTGTTTCCGATAGACCCTCGGCTAGAGAACGACTGAAAAAGAAAAGGTAAATGCAGCAAATTAGGAATAATAGTAAA